CCAACCTTTGTTCTCCCGCTACTTTACCTTTGCCTACTGCCCTGTCTCTCTCACACCTGAAGAAGGCTCCACGGCTGAAACGTTGTGTTCTCTTTCTTCTTTTTTTTTCAGCATGGAATAAACCTATTACTTGTTCCTTTGCAGCCTACGCATGCTGACGCAGCTACCCACCTGATATTCTACTATATCTCGACTAGTGCAACATCTTTAATAAAAAAAGTACTTTAAGGACAAGGTTGTGTTGGAGAACAAGAAAAGCGTGGTTTATAAGATTTTAGAACTCTAAATGTTGTAGTGATTGATTACCGTGATTACTCACCGGGATAAGTCATACTGCTGCATAGTCTTTAAGTCTGTCACCATACATTCAATTGGCATCTCTGGACATGCATATGATGTATACCATTTAAAATTGTAGGTATAGTTGTCTTCAACCTAAAGCCACAGAAAATGTGAATAATTTCTCTTTTACAAGATGAATCCGTTGCTTTAATTTTTTACCTAGTCCTGATTAATTGATACACATCCTTATAGCAATTCAGCAGTACAAAGTGAAAGCATACTGTATAAATATCAGATAAATCTTGGTTCAGTTCAATTCTTCTGTGATAGCAGAAACATGAGGGAGAGACTGTTGTATGTTTTGTTACCTGGTACTCAGGTAGGCCCACTCCAGCCTCCCTGTCACATAGAAAGGAAATGAAAGTCGAGCGCTGAGTGTGCAGTCTGTTATTATACTTTGACCCATTTCTGTAATTCAGATGGATCAGTCCATCATAGTATGACAGCTTGGAATTGAAATCACCGAGATTCCAAGAGCTACCGCTGCACAAACAAAAAACACAAAATAAAAAAATTACAATTTACAGTGGAAATTTGAAATTTCTTAAATGCAAATGCAAAACTTTAGCAAATCAGTTTTATGTACAACTTTCATCTCTTCACACCTCAGAAACAGGCAAGATATGCACAATTCTTATTTCTTAATAGCTTAATAGCAGAATATAAACTATTCTACAAAATCAGCATGATTTTGCACAGAGTGGCATCTGTGGCAGCAAGTGTCAGTGCACAACTTATAGAAAATGCACTCGGATATCCGTACTGACATCAAGAATAGATTTCTTTGTTTTGTAAATGTATATATTATTTTGCACCAAACAACTATACATTTAAGAACATTAAAATCTTTCCACTAAGGATGATACAACTTACTGTATGGCACAAAATTTAATTCTGCCAGTAATATAACCATACAAAACATACTGCAGTTATTGACATACTGCAGTATCCCATCACTTTGCTTATTCGTCATCAAGGCTATTTACTGAAACAAACATCACTTTACATCATTGCATTCTGTAATCATTAGAATTCTAGAGGGTTTAAGGTTTATTATAAATGCAGGAGCTTTATACTCCCAGGTTTTTATTTTTACATTGTCCAGGTACTACATTTTAGAAACACAAAAATTAAAAATACAACCTCTTACCTTTTGTCTACCTGACATGCCCCTGCATTTGCAGTGCAGATTCCTTCCTTAACCGAGCCACAGACATTGAGGAAATACTTATAATCCCCACTGGAGACACTGTATCCATCTGCATTTCTGAGTGGCGAAAGGTCAAAAGAAAACCCTGCCAAGGACAAAGAAACAATCCCCACTCCATACAAATATAAAGCGATGTTGTGGGTCAAATATACTGAAATCATCCATTTTCCTGCAAACACCTGCCCTCTAAGAGAATTCCACATTCAACTGCAACTGCTTTGTCTGTTCAGTTAGGTGAAACATTTTTAATTAAGATTTAAGTAATGAAAAGGGATACATTTGAAATATCTGAATTAAATTATCATTTTAAAATTATTTAAAATATTTTGAAACAAAGAACTAAAAACAAAATAACTAAACATGAGGCTAAGCATGAGTGATACAACTTCAGTTCCAGAGGACTGGTGAGTGTGTAAAAGTTTTCATTAATCCCAGTTCGCAGTAATATTTGCCCATTCTGTGCAAATGTGCTTAACCGTCATCAAATAAGTTGGAGATTGTTGAGGGAGCAATTTTCAAGTCTTGCCACAGGTTCAAGTTAAAGCTTTGACTTGGCCACTCAGGAACTCGCTTTCTTATTCTTAAGCAATTTCATTGGAGCTCTGTCCTTATCTGAAGTAGGTTTTCCTTTAAGATTTGCTAGTAGTTTTCTCCATTTATGTTCCTATAACCCTTGATAAGCTTCCCAGTCCATGGTGATCATATTTGACAGAACGCATGGTGTTGACTGGGTTAACCATGCATAACATTTAGACCAGAAAGCTCTGATTTTGTACTGTCTGATCACAAAACCTTCGGTCAGATGTTTGCAATATCACTTAAAAAGTTTGTTGGAAACCCCATTCAGAGCATGAGATGGGTTCACCATTCTGTCATAAGAGCAGACTTTGAGTATTTGGGAAATTTTTTGGCTTATGAACAATTTCTCACATTTCAGAAACACAACTCTCCAGTTGTTTCAAAATAGATGTTGGACTAAAAATGGTATTCCTAATATATTAAATCCCCATCTGCTGCTTAGTTTGGAGGGACAATAGACAGAGTTTGGGTGATATGATGCACCCTCAACTTCTTAATGAGAGAATGTACATTATCATGCTCAAAATGTTGTGTACCTGAACTAGTTGCAGCAGATGAGCTGAATATTTATGCTATCAATATTTTTTTTCTATGCTGTTTTTAATTACATTTAACTTCTTTCACTCATAAACATTCAGTTTGAAATTTCAAGTTCTGATTAAAATATGCACTTAAAATCTGTATACATCTTTTGCAATTCAACAAAATGGAACATCATTGATAGGGGGTAAATAACTTTGCAAGGCAATATAAATTAGCTCATTTTGGACTAACTTGGACCAGATTACTAACTTTTCCCAGCTTTTTGGATGCTCCTGATTTAAGGAGACCTCGAAGCCCTGCAAATATACTGGACCTCCAAGACCAGTGTTGGATCACAAGACCTATAGCACAGTACAAAATTAATAAATACAGACAAAATAGTGCTACTTTTTGTTTCTTATGATAGTGTCCTCAAACCTACACCTATATAACACAGCAACTAAAATGCACAAAGACAGTAACTAAGTGGTCTATTTGACCTCAATAAGAAAGGTTACCAACCAGCCTGGGGATTGGACACAATACAGTTGTCTCCCACAGTCATGGACATGACACAAGCAGCGGCCGTGTGCCACTCAAACTCATAGACACACTCATCACTGGACACACTCCTCAACAAAGGGGCACTTTCCAGGTCACCTTAATTGAGAACAGACATCTTATATTAGCATTGTGTGAGCCAGATTCTGAGAAAGCTACAGACAAAGCCTGATTGTCTTCTTTTCATGACATTTCCATGTTTTTATTTTTAAAAATAACAGAACAGCAACAGAACAACAGAATACCTTAATCAAAAGGAACAACCAAAGGCACAACCAAAGTTAACATTATACACTTGAAGAAAGTGTATATGCTTATAGCAATATAAGCATTATAGTCCACCTTAACAAAAAAAATTAAAAATGTAAAAGATAGGACATGATATAAAGGATAACACTGAAAACAAATATTTGGTGGTGCAGAGATATGTTAAGCAATTTGGAAATGTTTTAAGTTATATTTTTAATTTAATATCTCCCATCCTATACTCTCATTTTGTCAGAAGATTGCCTGATTTACCTTTTCATTCAAAAGTGTATCTGCTTATAATTCATCCACTCTAATAGCAATAGTACATTTAACACAATAAGGGATATTTTATAAACTTACCAGGTTTGCACAACAATGTAATAACTGTTTTAATTTTTGTGTCTTTCTTGCAGGTGTCACCTTCTGTATATGTAAGGCGAATATTATCGTTGTCCTTTATAGGACTGGAAACAAATTTGCCCAAATTCCTTGCTTTTCCATCTTGTCCTGGAAATAAAATATAAAAATGCTTTAAACATCTTCTTCATTCAAATCAGATCACTTGAGCTGAGCTTTTATTTACTAATTAACTACAGAGCAAGATGCACAAAAGAAAGTCTTGTTACTTTGTGAAGTTTATTTTATTTCAAAAACATTTTTAATTTATAAACACAACTTTTCAATGGACAGACATCACATCCAGGGTGTACCCTGCCTTGCACCTGTTGTTTGCCGGGATAGGCTCCGGCTTCCCCATAACCCCGTATTAGATAAAGTGAATAGATAATAGGTGGATGAATAAACGAGTATTTAAATTCACCCATAAGAGTTTAATGTATTGTTAACGTCTGTGCGTGCAGAGAAGAAGCCACCTTGTCAGGTGTTCTAATGGTTAGGATTTGGTGTTCACACCACTGCGGCCACATTCGATTCCCAGATAAGGAGTGTCGTGTTCTTTTTTACAGGCTAGATGTACCAAATGGCACCATTTGTAACACTTCTTATGTTCTTAAGAGTAAGTAATAGCAGTGAAGGGAATTTGAAAATTACCAAATATTTTCCAAAGATTAAGGTGGATGTTTTTTTCTTCGCGCATTTGACCATTTCTATCAGCGATTCACAAGGTTACGGATGCCCTTATGATAAAATAATATTGGTTAGTCTCTGGGCCATTTTTGTATCCAATACCTAGACCTCGTAAGTATCAATTAAATCACCTGAAAACACCTTTTACTTTAAGGTCTCAGATTAAATTAGAGGGTTCTCCCAAGGTTTCATAGGTCAGTACAATTGGTGGACATCTTTGCCTTTGAGAGTATGGGTGCAGAGGAGGATTAGATTTGTTTTTCTCATAAAATTATTATTTTATGAGATAAATAATAATAATAAAATTATTATTTCTTTGAGATCTTGATTCTCAAGCACAGTACAACTGTCCTTCTGTATTCCCTCATCTAGTGGCCTTTGTATATCTCCATCTACATTGGGTGATGCCAGATGGTACCCACTGGTGTGCTGTATTAATTGGGGTTGAAAACTCTTAGCATCAGGGTTTACAACTGAACCACTAGTCCTGAGATTGTTGTCCCTTTGTTGTGTAGGTGAAGCATACCTAAGATGATATTCCTCTTCTAATTTACCGTCAAGAGTCCTGTTGAGTCTGTGGTCCCTTATAAGCTTTCCTTTTCTGCTGCAGAAATCAATTTCTCTCTGTTTTTTACTGTATGGAGTCAACTCAGGTCCTTTCACTGGTAAGTAATCACATGATTCCTATGGATCACAACTTTTAACTCTGCACTCTCCGGTTTCACTTCATAGACTGGACTCCTTGCTTTTCCTTCCCACAACTACGTGAACCTTATCTTCCCAGTAAAACCAAATCTTGCCCTACCCTCTCATTCAAATTCCGAATAAGGACTCGGCCCAGGGTGCAACTCATTCCCATGAACAGTCCTGTCATAGTAGGCTTCCCCCCTAGCTGCTTCTTTATTTGTTTTCGATGCAATTTGGTATGCTTCCCTCTTTCTCTTTTGCCAATTTGTTGCATAGTCATTGTAGGTTTCACTTGTCCTGTCAAAGTTTAGGTTGAACAGAATGTTGATAGGGAGTCTTGGAGTTCTCCCAAAAAGGGAGGTGAGAAGCCAGGTGAGATAAGGTGTGAAACCAGTGGCCTCAGAACAAGTACAATTATAACCAGGTACAAATTTTGCCTGGAAACTTTCCCAGTCAGCTTTCTCCTTTTTAGTTAGTCCTCAGCATGGATAACAGTGTACAATGTTGTCACAATGTTGACTTGACCATTTTCCTGGGGATGATATGTAGTGAAGTGGAAACCATAGATGCCAGAGTTCTCTCAACCTTGAGAACACCTGATTTTCAATCTCCTTCCCCATGTCTTGGTGAATCTTATTTGGAAACCCGAATTTGAGAGTAAGGTCATTAAAAATCTTCAAGCTGTTAAAAAAGTCTTGGCAGTTTTGTTTTTAGGAGCGTATACTTGTGTATAATGATCCATCACCACTAAGAAGTATTCATATCCCTGTTTACAGGTTTCCAACTGCAGAAAATCAACAGACACCATTTCAAATGGATAAGTTGTGGTAATTGTAATGGTGCTTTTACTGGTTTATTTGTCTTCTTTTTCTTGAGGTAGTTACAGACTTGTGTCAAAAAAGTTAAGTATCATTTTGCATCTAAGTCCAATAGAATACATCCCAGATGAGGCTGAATGTGCTACTCACACCAAGGAGTTCCATCTCCTGAGGCAGCCCCAGAAATACGAGTGGATGGTATTCTTTTGGCAAAATTAGCTGATCTCATTCAGATGTTTTCCTGTGTAACACCCCTTTGTCCACATGTAACTTAGCCCACTGCTTCAACAGTACATTGACATAAGGATTTTCTACTTGTACTCCTTTGGGGGGCAAATGATTCCTTATTTTGTATTGCAAAATTCTTCCGACGATAGGGTCATTTCTGATCTCTTGTGTAGTCAAAGGTTGACCGAGACAGTGAAACTGCGTGTTTTTGTATGCATTTGCAAGGACTGTTTGGGTTCCTTGTGATGGCTTCTCCTGTTCTACTGATACTCTGAGCATTGAAGCACTAATTCCTCTTGGTCTATTTCCTTGGTGCACTGGTTCATATAGCTATGTCCATTGGCATTCGAGAAAGACCATCAGCATCAGCATTAGACTTGCCAGGGCAGTACTTGATAGTGAAGTTGAAATCTGCGAGCTGTGCTACCCATTTGTGACCTTTTGCATTTAGGTGAGCAGATTGTTGTCTGTATATACAACAAATAATGGTGCATTGTACAAATAGTCCCAAAAGAATGCTCACAGATTGCCCATTTTTTCACAGATTTCCAGATTGAATAAGTTAATTTTTCTCCAGTGGTGTAAGTGTCCTAGAACTGTAAGCAATTACAAACATCTTTCCATTCCATGCATCACAGTGTAACACAAATGGCTGAATGAAGTCTGGATACCCAAGGATAGGTGGATTTGATAAATAATTGATTAACTGATTCAATACTTCTTGAAGTCTGCTTGTCCATATGGGTGTGTGTGGTGGTAAATTTCCTAGTTGTTTTGTCCTAGGGCTCTTCTTTCTTAGGAATATATAACCCAGGGGTGGGCAAACTTTTTTGGCCAAGGGCCACATTAAATTTGAAACTGTATAGCGGGCCACTTCAGGGTGCTGTTACAGATAGCCTATGCCGTATGTTAGTTTAAAATCCAGCATAGGCTTATGAGTTCAATGTTAGCGATAACCTGAGATAAATACACCCACCCAAAAGGCTCCTTGATTAATGACAGCTGTGCAGCTGATCACCTCGTTTTGTGTGAGCTGCGTTGATAGCTGTGTTGTGGCGATCCTTAATACACAGCTGTGTGGTGGTGGTCACTCAGCTGTGATCTGTGACGTTATTTGTTGATGTTCATCAAGCTGAATGTTTGCTCACACATGTAAGTAGATCTGAATAACACCAGTATCTATTGTGCTGCTTGCCGAATATGGGGAAACATGGCCTCATTCAGTAATGCATAGAATTCATCCAGCTTTACAGAATGAAACTTTTCCTTTAGAGTCATGTCACACTGCAGATCGATCAGTACCAGCTGCAATTCTTGTGCTGCTATCTCGTAGTTGAAAGTCAGAGGACATAACACCTTTAGAGACCTCTCCATCTGATCAAAGTCAGCAAATCGACAGGGAAATTTTCTATGCAAGTCTGTTGTACCTTAGTGCATGAGCGTGTGCCACGTCTAGTGTCCCAAGAGTGGGGAAATCTGCAAACATGTGGTTGATCATCTGTTTTGAGAACAAGGTGAGCTTAGCTCTTGAATGCATTAAAATTCGAGTACAGTTCTGGAACAAAGCAGTTCAGGTGGGTATCTGCATCAGCATGCGTTGGCTGCAAAGGTGAGCTCACACCCGAAGAAGGCTCCATGACCGAAACATTGCATTTTCTTTCTTCTCTTTTCAGCATGGAATAAACCTATTACTTGTTCTGGAACAAAGACACCTTTTCCGTGCAGTTTCACATTAAGCTCGTTCACGTGAGCGAAAATGTCCACAGCGAATGCAAAGTCGCAGAGCCAGTCTGAATCTCTGAGCTCGGGGAAATACGGCTTTCCCCAGGTTCTCCAAAAAGGAGTCGATCTCTGCTTAGCTCTCACACTCACTTGAATACTTTTCCCCAGCTAAGCCAATACACAATTGAATGATAGAGTAAGTCATGGTCGTCTGCGCCAATATCTTCAAAAAACTGAATGAACTGACGATGATTAAGTCCCCTTGCACGTACGAAGTTCACAAGTTTCACAACAGCTTTCATGACATGATCGAGACCCAACACGTTTTTGCACAGGGCTTTCTGATGAAAGATGCAGTGGAGAAATATTACCTCCGCCTCAGGGTCATTTTCTTTCACTTTGACCTGTATTCGCTTCAGTAGTCCATTTTTCCCAGTTAGATTCGGAGATCCATCTGTTGTCACATTTACTAATTTGCTCCATGGTAGCTTCATTCGGTCAATACAAGCAAACACCTTGTCATACAAGTCTGAGCCCTTCGTTGTTCCTTGAATAGACTCCTTTGTAATTTGGACAACTGTTGTTAATTCCCCTGACAAAAATTAGGAGCTGTGCAGTGTTCTTTATATCAGTACTTTCATCCAATGCAACTGAATAAAACTTGAAGTTCTCCATTTTCTTGTTCAACTCACAAGCCAAGTCTTCACTGATTACCTCGACCCAACGGGTAATTGTTCTGCGTGATAAATTAATTTTCTCAAGTTTGCTCTCGCTCTCTGGAAAAAGAATATCTGCAGTTTCCATCATACAGTCCTTCAAAAACTCCCCTTCAGACAACGGCTTGCTTTGATTAGCACTTTTATATGCAAGCAGGTAGCTTGCTTTTCTGCTGGCCTCTTGGATGGTAGAAGGGCAGAAAAACATTTTGCCGAGTCTGTAAACTAGCGGCTAGTTTGGAAGCATTATTGGACCATTCCTCGCGTGACAGATTGCTAGTATAGTTAAGATGTTTGGTAGAAAAATGCAGAATGAGATTGTATTCTTTGAACACTGCAGCCCTTTCGTTCCAAATTCAAAATATATAGCCTTTGTTCCAATCTCTGTGAAAAAGTATTTTACAGTCCATTCTTTGTTGGAAACTCTGCATTCACTGTCAACTTGTCATTTTGATCCAGGTTCCCTAGCAGTATGATGCACTCACTTGTTGAGAGGGTCTCTGTGAAATTTGTAAAAACTTTTCTTGCAGAGGATGCAATATTTTACAATGTGGACATTAAGAACTGGTTTGAACTGAATTGGGCACAAAGGCTACTATTTAATTCAATACCATTGTAAAGGGATGCATGCTAGAAACCTAAGTAACCAATTGTATGAAACATTATCTTTAGCAAATAAGGAGATAGGAGAATGTGCATGATTTTGGAACACTGTTTATCTTGTTAGCACAGGAAACTGTGATAGATAACAGAATAATATTTAATACTTGTTTAATTACCATGAGAAAAATACACCGAGTATCTCTGTGTGCTTCGCTCCCATGCGCAAGAAATTTATCTTTTACCTCAAGGGCCGGTTAAAACTGACAGGCAGGCTATAGTTTGCCCAGGGATCATATAACCCATAATAGGAAACATATCCCAGCACCTTCCGTAAGTCCCCTATAGTTTCAGGTATTTTCTTGTTTAGTGACTGCACTGGAGCAATTTCAGGAGGGTCCATGGTGTAGTTGTGTAGACCATTTTTCCAAGAAATCTCACTTTCCTTTTGAATACCTCACACTTTCGAGGACTAAACTTGATACCATACTGCTGGTATGTTTGGAGGAGAGCTTGGACATGATTTAAGTAGTCATTAAATGTACTGCTATGCACAAGATTATCATCTAGGTACCAGATGGCATCTCAGAGACCTAAGAGACATTATTCCATGGACCTCTGAAACTCCAAGTCCAAAAGGGATGAGGAACCTTTCATAAAGTCCCCAGGGGGTAATAAAAGCTGTCAAAGGTCAGCTCTCCTCATCCAGGAACCACTGATGATATGCTTAACCCCTGCTGAAGGACTGAAAACCACAAGCTGCTACTTAAGGAATCCAACATGTCCTGAATCCTTGGGATTGGATGGTGGTCAGGCACTGACCTGCTATTTAGGCAGCAGCCATATCACCCTGCAACTTTAAACTGGCAACCCACTGAGAAAAACTAAGGTTGCTTCTGGAAGAGGTGTTAGAGGAGCCGGCAGGGGGCGCTCACCCTGCGGTCCATGTGGGTCCTAATGCCCCAGAATAGTGAAGGGGACACTATACTGTAAAAAGGCCCCATCCTTCGGATGAGACGTAAAACCGAGATCCCAACTCTCTGTGGTCATTAAAAATCCCAGGGTATTTCTTGAAAAGAGTAGGGATTTAACCCCGGCATCCTGGCCCTTACCAATCATGGCCTCCTAATAATCTCGTCTAAAAATCTCGTCTAAATTGTTCTTGCAGAAAACTGTTTCGGCAGGAAAATGTATAAGGGGGAATTTTTTTAGACGGATCTTATGACAAAGAGAGAAAACCATGTTTTGTTTTTTATTATTTGCTGCTGTTAAGTTTGACCATTGATATAAAGTGAACTAGAAGTGTTGAAAGTGCTATAATTCTATAATTAATGACAAATTACAGGAGCCTTTTCATCTTTGATATCAGAGATGGGTCTGCCTTCACAATTAATATATAAAGGGAAGACAGCTGGCTGCTATACATGCTGCATTTTCCTTTCCAAACAATGGCATTCATCAACGGAATTCTTTAACGTTTTGGAGTAATGAGGAAATAATTCCAAAATTTCATAGATACTTGTGCCTTATGTGAGGTTTGTCAGAGTTATTTAAGTCTTATAATAAACAACTCAGTATGTGGTACAAACCTGTCTGTATAATCAAAACTAAACTGAGATAAATTCATTCTATGTTCGGTTTAGGGTCAGTAACACAGATCCAGTCAGAAAGGTTCCAGAAATCCAAGACGGAAATCCACTGATCATATCTAGAGCGGATGTGTGTAAAGTTTTTAAAAATACCAATCCACACAAGGCTCCTGGCCCTGATGCTATCTCTGGTCGTGTTCTAAAGGCATGTGCAGACCAGCTGGCAGATGTCTTCTCGGACATATTCAATCTCTCTCTAGCTCAGTCTATAGTCCCTTCCTGCTTTAAGAAAACCACCCTGTTCCTAAGAAACCCAGAGTCAGCTGCCTGAATGACTGCCATCGCACTTACGTCAGTTATCATGAAGTGCTTCAAGTGGTTGGTCAAAGCATACAGCACCTCCTCACTGCCTGACACCCTAGACCCACTGCAATTTTCATACCGCCAGAACAGGGCAACAGAAGATGCTATTGCCACTGCCCTCCATACTGCCCTCTCACATCAGGATAAGAAAGGAACTGTTTGAATGCTGTTTGTTGATTACAGCTCAGCATTCAATACCATAGTGCCCTCAAAGCTTGTCATCAAGTTCCAGGACCTGGGACTGAACCCCTCCCTTTGTAATTGGATCCCTGAGTTCGTGACTGAACGTCCACAGGTGGTGAAGGTGGGCACCAACATATCCTCTACCCTGACTCTAAACACTAGACCCCCACAAGGCTGCGTGCTTAGTCCTGTCCTCTACTCCTTATTTACCCATGATTGTGTCATAAGGCATAACTCAAACTCCATCATTAAGTTTGTGGACGATACAACAGTCATCGGCCTGATCACAGATGGTGAAGAGTCTGCGTACAGGGAGGAGGTTGAAACCCTGGCAGCATGGTGCCAGGAGAACAACCTCTCTCTGAACATCAGTAAGACAAAGGAGATTATTATAGACTGTAGGAAACACCAGGGAGGAGATCACACACCTATCTATATCAATGGGACTGCATTGGAGAGGGTCAGCAGTTTTAAGTTCCTGGGAGTTAACATCACGGAGGACTTAACCTGGCAGCGCCTATTCTTTCTCCGCAGGCTAAAGATGTTTAGCATGCCATCACATATCCAGGCGCACTTTTGAGAGCATCCTGACTGGTTGCATCACTGCCTGGCATGGGAACTGCTCCGCCCGGGATTGCAAAGTACTGCAGAGGGTGGTGAAGTCAGCGCAGCTCATTACTGGCTGTGAACTACCAAACATCCAGGATATCTACTCAGCTACTAGATGTAATTCTCAAGGACCGTAGTCATCCCAGTCACAAACTGTTTTCCCTCCTACCGTCCGGTAAACGGTACTGGAGCATTCGGTCAAAGTCCAACAGACTACGGAACAGCTTCTACCTCCAGGCAATAAGACTGTTAAATAGCCAACCTGCAGCTCCTTTAGCAAATCACCCGTAATGGCTACATGGACATACAGTTTTCACTGTATACATCATACTGCACTACTTGGACATAATATATTGCATACACCATGGACACATAGCATCTCTATTCATATTGAGTTTTGTCCGAGTTTATTTTATTCAATTTCTATTGTATTACTATTTATTATTATGTAACCTTCTTTTGTAACTTTAATTTTATGATTTCTTCCCCCTGGTGAGCTCGTAGAAAACACACTTAATTGCCAGCAACTACTGCTGCATGCTGTGTTGTTGTACATTTGATTTATAAACTTTGATTTGATTTGATTTAATTTTGATTTTGAACTACAATGACGTATTGAACTGTTTTCTTCCAATCACATACCACTGGCAACACAGAGGCACTAGATCAGAGTGTAAAGAAGCCTCAGGAGTGAAGGAAGAAAAGAAAAAGTATGCCAAATGTTTTCCCAAAGAGGTTAAAAAAGACTTGGACAAAGAATGTATCTTGTCTATGACATTGTTTCATTACAGAACTGAACTGGGCTCAGTAAAGACTGAGCAATTATTGCTAAAGTTAACCCTTTCAAAGTAAGAGTGCTTTTGGTTAAATTTAAAAGATTTAATAAAGACTTTAAAATATATACAATGGTAAATGAGGCATTAGGCCTTTTTCATACTTACTGTAAAGTAATTTTGAAAGGTGACGAGAGCTTTTGGTAGCTACATTTCATGATATTGTAGTAATGTTTCATTACTACATAGTTACAGTATCAATTCAGTATTGTGTAGTTAAAATCCTTCACAAGAATTCAATTAATTATTCTATTTTGGCAGATTTACAGAAAGTAGCTATATTTATTACCAGGCAATTTACATAGCAGAGCTTGGAAGGGTTGGTTTTACATCTCATTCAAAAGGCAAAGGGAAATATAAAGGCAAATATTGACAATTTGCTTTATAGCCACGTTGACATTTACTCTGACATAGCTGGTGAATGTGGTGGTTGTTGTTAGGAAAAGAAAAGCAAGCAAGGGAACCTGACACTCACCAACAGCACAAACAGCTGGTTCTTCTGGACAGCCTTTTGTAGCTTCATTTTGGAGAATCCTGTGGCAAATGTTGATATAGAAGTGCTTCTTCTCTGACTTAGAAGACGTGCTGTCCACAGCCTCCCAGTTCTGGTTTGAACCAGGCTCTGAAACAGAGCAATAATCTAAATTGTCCTGTAAATGTACAGCAGTTAAACTGTCTTTGAAAGCAGCTTATGAAAGAGTAATGGTGCTAACCCTGGATTTTTGGTCTTGAACAATCTGGCCTTCCTGAGGTCCTGCATAATTTGTTTGATAACGTAGTTTCTAACTTCAACTGATCTGCTGTGTGATGGCTCTTAACGTTCATGAAGGTATATAATGCCTGAGATCATCATGTTTGTAACAAATGGCTTTGAGTGTGATTTTCCTAATCTTATTCAGAATATGTTAAAAGAAACCACACAATAAATGCAACAAGTTACATTAAAAATTAGAGACTAAATTAGACTGAGCCTAGCATAAATGGCATATTTTACATTATTTTCACTTTTTGCTTCCACATCAAAAGCTGGACACATAGAAATATGTCTGAATTGCAGTATAAAGAACATACTTGAGTATCTTGTTAAAGCTGACAGGTCATAGCGCTTCTTCTTATCTGTGACTCTGCAAAGTAGATTTTCCTTTTCCTTCACACAGGCATGAGATGTTTGCCAGTTGAAAAAATAAGTGCAGTCAGACTCTCCCACAAAGACTGGGGAACCTTTCCCATTGTTTCCTTTGGAAAAAAATCATAAGATAAAAAGCACTTAGTGCCACTGCCAGCTATTATAACATGAATATTATAATAAAGGTGTGTTTCAAGGTATCAAGGAAATTGTATCTTGCTTCAAACTTTGCAGCATTTAGTAGTGAAGCTCAGAATTGATCTGTAGGGCTTTGTTCTCTGCATTTAGCATCATATTGGATCCAGAGCAATTCTGGAGACCCTACATTTGTGATGGATCTTTGAAATCATAAAAAAGTTAAAGGGGAACTACAGTCCCAATTTCTCAGACCAGTTATTAAATGTCGGTAACAAAACTCATTGGTGGCATAGAAAGATTTGATAGATTTTGAATTAAGAACAAAACTGTGAACTTTGTTGTAGTATTATAAGTCGCCAAGTTGTCGCAGACCCATTGTCTCCCCATGGACGAGAGCTCCCATGAATCGTGATGTGAAGCAGCCCTTCCTGCTCATTAGTCACTGTAATCTTATATAATGCAATTAACAAGCAAATAAGTACAGGTTGGTCCAATGTGATATTCATCAAAAGTTAACAAGTTATTGGCAAAACCATCTCAAAGACAAGAGCAATATTTCTGTTGGATTAAAAGAAATGTATTCACCAATATGGTTGTTTAAAAAATAATAGGGCTGCTTGAGATTACCAAGTTTTGTTGCCTTTGTAGCGGCGAGGCTTATTAATAAGGCAGAATTAAGTGTTTCTGAGCTTTCCCAAATTAGGCCTCATCTCTCTGTTCATCTCTGTGGTGCAGCCACAGAGAAACTACTCATGCAGGCTGATTTAAGGTTTCCTTTGATAAGGGACAGCTCCCAAAGGGGGATGCACTTAGCTAAGGCTGGCTATCATGATCAATGGTCATCCATTGGCGCCTATCTGTCTAGGGAGTGCCAGATGGACATCTGGACTGCATCCCTAAGTGTCAGGAGTAAGTGACTCATATCTCACCTTGATTAACCAATCAGGTACTGGTAGGGCCGAGTAACCCATGTGGGACTCTGATGCCCATGGAACTTTCAGCCAATCAATGAGCTGAATTTCCTCCAGGTAAAAACAGGCAACACAGAGGGCCTGAGGGGATTCAGTTAGATTCAGAGTGGACTTCTGAGACTTTTCTAAAGGGAATTCAAAGGAGAATTCCAGGGCAGGACGGCCCAGGAGCAGAAGGCTCCCAAGGGCAGGACATTCTCGCAGCGCGCCTCCTGACCATCCTGAGACTCAGGCCGGACAACCACGGAACGGCCACTGTGTCCGAGTGCCAGAACTTTCCTTTCTTCTAAGAGTCTAGAGCGGAGGTTGCCAGAGAGTAACTAGAGGATCCACCCGAGGTTAGCACCAGCAGCAGTCCTCGTGAACAGGTCAGAACTGTGGACAGCTGAATCACTATTCAGAACTAGCTCTTCATCAGGAACGAACCGGTCCTCTTCCTGACTTGCTGGGACCCACAGTCATCTTTTCTCCTGTGCACAAACTTTGCTAGTTAAAGCCAACACTAACTAGCCGTTCAGTGAGCATCAGCAGCGCACCGTCGCAAGCCGCACAGCACAGCCTGGCATGGAGCCAGAGAGCCCGCAGGAGATCTGAATCCCCAGAGATTGGATGAGTATTCAACTTCAATGCATTACAGCTCGAGAATTCAATTGTTATCCCAACCAGTTGATATCAATTTAATTCCTAAGAGTTATGTACTTGTTTTGAGTATCTAATGTAGAAGTTGTAGCCAAGTTCAATTCCGAAACGGTCTAAATGAATGATATACTGAACGTATGTCCTCTTGATATATGTAACTCTTTGTAACTGACTGAATATATATCTTTTGTATTCTGATAACCCTCTCGATAAGATCTGTTAGGTTTACATGCATATTCTATGTATTAATAAATGTATCCTCGTATTAGTACCTGTGTGTGTGCGTTGTTTGAGTTATTTTGCATGGTTGGATTCTAAAGCCATCAAAAGAATCAATTTTGTGATTTACTGCTACAATTAATAATTGTCCCAGTAAATGCCCAAACCCTACAGAACTGGTGCCTTCAGAGAGCACACTACACCTTGTTCTAAATTGCAGAACACGGCACTGCGGATACCTGAAAAATGTATGTATTTTGTAATGTAAATTGGAGGTTTTACAAGTTACAGTGTACATTTTATTTTTAATCACTCAATGCTGACTCTTTCTATCCCCGAAACATAAAAAAATTGCAGTTCAAGTTCCTTAGTGCTCCCATATTTCCGCTAAATGTGTTGGAAACAGGAAATGTAGGCTATAGTACCTCTTGTTTTCAGGAACACAATTCCAATTCTTTACTTTAATTCTTACGTTATATTAGAATATTAAAGAAGGGTAAATTGATGTGTAATTTAAAAAAAATACAATTAAATATCAATGTTCCTTTAATATTTTGGTTCAACTTGCAGTTGGTTTTTCAAAAGACATAACACACCCACCAATTGAAATAATAGTATTTATATGTACAGTTTCTATTTGCCAGAGACTTCTTGAATTAAACAGAAAATTTCAATTAAGTATGTTGATTAAGTGGAGGGTAGATAATTTAATCCAGGAATACATTAATATTTATTTCACATCCCATTTGGAAGATTCAAGATGTTTGCAAAAAAAAGTCAATACATTCTTTACCAACTGTTTTTTACACATTTTCCCCACATTCATCTGCATGCCCCAGTATTATACTAACCTAATTAGATTACTTATAACAAATAATGTTTCACAATGCAAAGAACAAACATAACGACCTGCATGACATGACAGATTGCCCGAAATAAACATTTGGAATTATCAATCTTAATATATGTATTTAAATTAGGAATAATATGGTTTAAGATGGATATGGATCCTTACCAGCTGTTTGGTTGCATTCAAAATTGATGATAGTCATTCTCTGAAAACCCGAACTGCAAGAATTTCCTCCTGGATAGATTAGGGTTAGGTCTCCATCTGAGTACCTGAAATGCAACAGGACACCTACAGTATAAGGCCAAACACTAAACAAATGTTGGTCTTCTGAATTAAACAAAAAATAAAAAAACATGCACAGTCACTAGGAAGTGCAGTGGGCAATCTTAGAGGTAATATCAACAAACTGTCCTAAATGTCAGAGAGCAGCTTGTTAAATTGCATACCAGAACTTTGCAGAAGCCACTAATATTGTTAACAAATGCATATGGATGCATACTACAGCAATACAAGAATTGATGCATAGCTCATAATGGCTCTGTGCATGTCTAAACAAACAACTAATAATTAAACTAAAAGGAAAACATCAAAATAGTGATGGAAAAAAGGTATCTGATATTGTTGTGTTGGTGACCAAATCTTAAACAGCACTGGGGAGTAAAATGTTCAATAAAAAAAACAATAAAACCACTCTCCCAAAAGCTTATGCTTTATGACCACAGGTTCGAGCCTGGGTCATATCACTAGCAAACTGTGATTGGGATTCTACAAGATGTAGCATATATATGGTCTAGCATTTCTGAGGACATGAACGGCACTGTAAGTCAAGGCTCTCTCAGCTCATTTCAATGACTGTAGCCTCCTAAGAAACTGTCAGTTAGAGATGAGCTTGTCCTCCTAACTACACTCAACCTCCAGTATGGGGGGGGGGTTGTATGCAACATGTTAAAAGTGAAGCAGCTCAAAGCTAGATAGGTCAGGAAAGTCTATGCAATTTCCTCATTCCCTCTTGTACAAGGGTTTGTAGCTGTGAGCTGAGACATTAATAACACAATTGTTGATCATCATGCATTTTAAACCTTCCCTCCCTACTTTTACAGTTTCTGTCAAAACCATAAAAACTGACAATGAAACAATGAACAATGATGGATGAAAGAAATATTTTATTTTCTCAACTATGCTTTTTTTGCAGGAAGGCTGCAAAACATTTGAAAATGTTTGTAAATAATGTCAAGACAAAATAAGTAAAACACATTTTAATAAAAATGGAATGCCTGAAACAAACTAAACTATTAGTCATACCTCAGAATCTGATTTTTGTATCTCCCTGCAACCTTGGTCAAGGACCCATCTTGTTTGACTTGACAAGAGGAGATGGATCCTTTGGTATCTCTGCATTCACCAGCGCTGGTTTCACCACACACATTGAGGTAATAGAAATAAGTATCTTTCCCATCACTACTAGTGGAAGTGGCGCGATATGGTGTCTCTGAATCTACAGATATTTGGGGAGGAACAACAAAAGCTTAAACAAATCACACATGCTTATTTTAAGACTCACATTAAAAGAGAACCACTCTGTCTTGGGGAAAGACAATATCAAATCCAAGGTTGAGCCTTCAGTCAATGTGGAAGGAAAAGGCAGAGACCACAATGTCTTGTACCACAACTACATTCTTGGAGGGCCAAAGCCCTGGAGGTTCTACGACTTTAAGTTACTGAAGTTTTGATATTTAACAGGTGTCTGATACCTACAATCAAAATTGTAAATATTGGCAAATTCATTCAAAGCTGTTGAAGTAAGAGACAAGATGTTAAAAGGGTTAATAACTTAAGTCAGTTCTGCCTGAAAATTAGACTTCTAAGCAACAGGGGT